GGAGATGGCGTCGACGGCGACGCACCCCGGGGCACGCGCGGTGAGCCCAGCCGGCTCGTGTGGGGATGGGACCGCAGGGGCGTAGAAGAGGTTGTACGTCACCGTGACGCGGTGGCCGGAGAGCACGGGGGCGACCTCGTGCTCAACGTCGCTGAAGAAGGCGACGTAGGCGATCGCATCGTTGCGCCCAGCGAGGAGCGTCGCAGAGTCGAACGCCCATTCCTTGTCGTCTTCGCGGAGGATGAGCGTGCCGCCTTCGTGGGGCGTGGGGAAGACGATCACGAGCGAGCCGAACATGTCCTGGGAGCGTGGAGTATCCGTGTGCGCCTTGAAGAACTGGCCCTCGCCTGTGCACGAATCAGAGACGCGGGATAGCGAGGCAGAATGGAGCTCGACGTACTGTACACGTTGAGCTTGTACAGCTCCGCACGGATCGAATTGCGTCCCTCTCGTTCTCTCCGCAGTAGGTGGGCGTGGATAGCACGCATGAGACCGGTCTCTTCCACGTTGAAGCGCATGACGAAGTCGTGGGCGTCCATCTTGCCTGCCTTGCGGTACGTCTCGTCGAGGACGGTCTCGTCGCCTCTGCCAAACATCGCCGGCTGGCAGGCGGCCGCGAGCTGCGCGACGGCATCCGGCTGAAGAGCAGACTTGGCGAAGTCGACGTAGCTGCGAACGATGATTAGATCGGCGCGATGACATGAAGAGACCGAGCTCACCGAGGGCTGTCGCGACCGTAGTAGAGCTCGAGCTGGTCTGAAGGCAGCTCGAGGATGCCGTTGCAGAACGACGGCTGCTCGGTGAGCGTGTCCTGGAGTTTTTTCAGTTGAGGAGTCTCCGGGACGTAGGTCATGGTGGTCGAGGAAGGATGTCGCGTCTGCTGCCCGCCGAAGGTAGCCGGGTCGCTATAAGTGTACTCGATCTAGAGATACTTGGCCCGTATCTCACCCATCATCGATGTTCGCAAGGTCGCTTCCTTGCCCATATGAGCGGCAGTATTCCACGAGGCAAGCATACCTTTTAGCTCCCACCCCGAGTCATCTTTGCTCTGGATAGGGGGTAGTACGAAGAAGGCGGATATGGACCGACCGTCTCGACTCTCCGCGCAGATATATCGGGCCGGCGTCCCGCTCATCTCCGCCAAGCGCTAGTTGATTTGACGCCGAGATTCCAGTGACTGGTCGCCGCCTCCGATGCTGCACGTCTACTACGCCGCCCACGTCTCCCCTGCATTGACTGCGCTGTATAAGCGAGCTTCATTCACCCCTCCCTCTCATCCGGCGCCAGCTCAGACTTCCAGCCACCCTGTCGAGACTGGCTGTCGGAGTCGGTCCTCATCAACCTTTTCGTCGCTCATCTTCATAGACATCTACGCTCGCCGAACAAGCTGCATGTCGCATGCAATACGGGTGGAAAGGATTTCGCGTGATCTGACGAGGGGTGCTTGGTCAGACCTGCATGGTAATTGCGGTAGACGGTGAGTACTTGAGTCTTGAGGCTGGCGTATGCCGTGAATTTTTGGGCGTATGGCACGGAAGCACTCGGCGAGGGAAATCTTTCCACACAAGGGCTGCGACATCTTTGCCGGGGCATATCGCGCTGGAGTGGCGTGGAACACACCAATCTCATCGTACTTTTCGTGTCTAGTATCAGTTGCTCTCCGCAAGTAGCGCATATAGTCATCTCAATCCACCGCGGCTGAGCAGGCGGAACCCCGTTTGGAGGCACATAGCATCCGTATGGCACGCTCGCTTCCTGTTCCTTGCGTCGCCGGATCCTCTTGCTGATAGTGAGCGCCGACCTGCGGGCAGCTGCTATGACTCGATCGAGTGTCCTCGATTCTCAGGCGGACCCACAGAAACATTCATATCCGCCACGCGAGTGCGGCTTGTGACCTTCGATGAGCCTGAAGTGTACGAGCGTCCTCCCCACGAGCCGCTTTAATACGTCAACGTCGAAAATTTTGTCCACTGTGAGTCAATGCCGGTCGACCGGGTCAACAACGTCACCCATTTCCCTTCAGGACGCTCCCTTCCGACATTCGTTATTCTCGATGTCTCTCCTCGCCCCTCAAACGCCCAGCTCGTTCATGTATGCAAGACGCTATAAGAGCAGCCAAACATCTGCAGGGGCTCGCTCGCGACCAGTTGGCGATGTATTATGGGCGCAAAAATCCTCAGTGCGTTTCCTAGATCTGTGCATTTCCCCGTTGCGCTCATTATGGTTGCCCATAGCTTCATACTCTTTTGCGATGTGTCCTCCCGTTCTGATCTGGTCGTTGAACTCGCGGCCGCCCGCCGTGTTCGGTCGAGGTGAGGTGACGGTGCTCGACGAGATGTATGGCAAAGCAGGCAAGAAGAAAGTCGGCGGATCCACGACGGGTTTCGACGTCAGGAAGTCGGGATTCTTGGACGCAATCACCTCCCATCTCAGGAGCTACGCCGACGACGATGGCGAGGTCCGTGCAGAACTGTACGAGCCGGGCCTTGAACAATCTCCAGAGGTTTCGTACTGTCACTTCGCGGTGAGTACATATAGCTACGCATATGGTATCGAGTACTCTGACAGCTCGAAAAGCCTAAGATCACCTCGCCCCTCGGACATGCGCGCCAAGGCTCCACCAACAACAGCGCCTCTCTTGGGCGTCGTTCTAGATTCCGGTCCGACTGTAGGCAGCACGGACTACACAACTATCGTTATTGTCCACGGGATGACGTGGCGCGGAGGTGAGATCCCCGTACTTCGAGATGGAAATCTCTAACCGCGAGAGCGTTGTCAGAAGCTGTTTCCTATATCGGCGCGATACAACGCCCGTACAATCGCACTCATTCGGCGTGGGTACCCATGATCCCCGGCCGGAAGTCGACGAATTTCTCAAACAGCAAGCGCGCAAGCCGTACAACACCCTCGCGGACTTCGCGAAACGCGAGAACATCCCGTGCGCGCGCGAGGACAAGAAAGGCGGGAACGCCGTCGCCGGCTGGTCGTACGAGCGTTCCTCGCTCACGCGCACTTGTTCGTGCCGTCCCACGGCGTCGATCCCCTCACCCACCCTCCGCCGTGTCATATTCCATGGTACGCTTCATCGCGCTCAACGCAGCCCCGACTTCACAGAAGGCTGACCTTAGCGTGTACACGCAGATAGCTCCTTCATGGTGTTCGGATACTCCTACCCGCCCGGGGGCTCGCACAAATCCTTCAAGGTGTCAGCAAGCCCCGTCTCGAACGCTTCCACGCGTGGGTCACCGGGTACTACGCGTACCGCGAGCCCCGCTCTCCCTCCGGCCCATCCACTGACCAAACGCAGGAGGATGAAAAAGAGGAAGGGGACGAAGGACTTGTTCGACGGCGCGGCGGACTCGCCGCTGACCTTCGCGGAGCCCGCCGCGCTCGTGTGGGGAACGAGGCGCGCGATCTTGTTTTGGTATATCTAGATCTAAATCTTATCTGTTAATCCGGTGGACTCAAAATCTATTCCGCATCTTCTCGTGCACAATCCAGGTACACAGCAGCTCGGGGAACCAGTAGGTGCTTGAAACAGATGACGTGGTGGCTATGTGCGTTTGAGGGGTGATGCAAAGAGTGTGAGATCTCTGGCTCGTTGGCCGCGATCATGGTAGGTCGGAGGGTGGAATATTGTGACGTTGTGCTTGGGCTTTAGATATTACGGGAGCGTGCGGGCACCGTGACGCCGCGAGAATCCGACTGTCTCAGTGGCAGTCACAAAATATCATATATTTAGCGCTCCTGAAGCCCGTCCGATCAGGCATTTCAGTATCTCAACACGCATCAATGATCAGCCTACTACGCAAGGTTGACACATGTTACCTTTGTTACGGTCGCGGAGCGCGGGAGCGCGGAGGTCGGGCGAGTCGGAGACGAGCGGAAAGGCGGGATCGGATTAGAGGACGCGCTTGACCTCGGAGAGGCTCGCGGTAGCGGGGAGACGGGAAGGAGAGGCGACGGGGAGGAGCCAGGAGGCAATCGCGTAGCGACACAGTAGGTGCGGGAACGGTATATAAAGCTAATGGTGGCGGACGATCGTATGCTAAGTGTCCGTAGCGGGCGCGCGCCGAAGCTCGTAACCAGACAGGCGGAGCAGGCCATAACACACCCCCACGAGCGAGGCGCGGTACACGAAGGCGGAGAAGGTGCGGTAAGGTACGGTAACAAACGTACGGTCGGTCAGAATATCGAAGAGCGCGCAGGATAGAGAGAATACAAAAACATCGGGGCGCACGAGGGTTCGGAGCAGGCAACGGGTCGAGAGCGGCAGGCGTACACTGCGCGAGACACCCCCATACTAAGGGCGACGCGGGGACAAGTGCAGCAGCGCGCGCGTCATCGACGACGGCGTCGGGTTCAGCGGAGGAGGCGGGCGCGCGGCGACGAGCGCGAGCGATCATGCAGCGTCGTGCGAGCGGTGGGCGGCATGGGTCGTCATCGTCCTCGGGATCGCGGGCTTCTGCAACAGCAGTCCGGCGGGCTCGGGTTCGGTCGGTTCGGTTCGGTCGGTCGGTCGGTCGGTCGGTCGGTCGGTCGTCGGTCGGGTGCGGGATCGCGCGAGCAGCCTCACGGGGAGGGTCACGGGGAGTGGGGACGAGGCAGCGGGATCCGAAGCGCGCAGGTCGGAACGCGGATCGGGAGTGGAGTCGGGGCGGATCGAGGGAGTTCGGGTTCAGGCTCGGGGCGCGGTCGAATGCGGGCGGGTCCGCACAGGCTGGTCTTCGGCACTCGGGGCAGAGCAACGGCTCGCGGCGAGGCTTCGAGGTCGTGGGTCGTGGGTCGCGGGGCGTTTTCGCTCTTGATGCTCAGGCGCCGGAGCAGAGCGCGAAATGCGGGAGAGGGTTCGGGATGGTCGGCTCACCAGCGCGAGGGACAGCGCGGTGCAGGGTGCTCGGATTGCCCTCCGAGTAGGGACACGCGATTGTGTTACGGTCGCGGAGCGCGGGAGCGCGGAGGTCGGGCGAGTCGGAGACGAGCGGAAAGGCGGGATCGGATTAGAGGACGCGCTTGACCTCGGAGAGGCTCGCGGTAGCGGGGAGACGGGAAGGAGAGGCGACGGGGAGGAGCCAGGAGGCAATCGCGTAGCGACACAGTAGGTGCGGGAACGGTATATAAAGCTAATGGTGGCGGACGATCGTATGCTAAGTGTCCGTAGCGGGCGCGCGCCGAAGCTCGTAACCAGACAGGCGGAGCAGGCCATAACAACCTTGAGAAACATCTCTGGGTCCTTGTCGCCGAAGCCCGCAGTAGGGAAGGCCACGCCCGCGAGATTCCAAACGAACCCCTTCGAGCTGCGTTCGAAGCGGAAAGAAGCGATGAGCGACGACAGGACAACCTCTGAAGGACAAACTTGGTGAGAAGCGGAGATCTCAAGGGAAAGAAAGCGCGGAGACTCACTCATCTCGAGCTGCGAGAATTTGAACCCGCTGGGATCGGTAGCGCATCAGTCGAGACGTGCAAGGTTCAAAGAAAAATTGGGCACACATGCACGAGTACCCTCCGCCGCCGAACGAGAATCTGCAGAAACACCGTGAGCAGAGTCCTGGGGAAAGGAGACGCGCTGTCGACACTGACGAGTTCGCGTAGATCCCGGGAATGCGCGCTTCCTCGACCGCGGCTGGGAGCGGACGCAACCACCGGTCTGGGTTCCACTCGTACGCGTCGTCACCCCAGAGCGCTTTGTTCGTGTTGCACGCGGCGATGTTCGTGAGGACCTCCACGCCCTTCGGCACTGCAATGTGGTCGATGCCGTTCACAGGCACGCTGAGCGGGAGGACGGTATCTTGTTTGGCTCTGTTGCGAGCAATCGGTAAATATGCTTTTGAAACAGAGATGAAGGACGTTCACTCACGCTCGCTGTGTGAACGTGACCGAAGGGTGCCTATCAGATAGAAGAGTCAGCTCAAAGTATTGGGAGCTCAAGAGGACACAGGTACGCACAGACGCATTGTCTCGCGACAGACCGCATCCAGGTAGGGCAACGCGCTCAGCTCGTTGTACGGGATCTCCTGCCCATACTGTTCGCGAGCCTCAAGCACCTCGTGCCGGAGCCGCTCTTGGGTCTCCGGGCGAACTGACAGAATATCAAGCGTGCGAGCGAGAGCGTTCGATGTTGTGTCCACACCTGCCACGATGAACGTCCTATCTGAGTGTCGGTTAACTTGAACACTCAAAGGTGTAAAGGGTGTACGTACGCTATCTGCGCCACCAACTCCTCCTCAGGAAGCCTATCTTCCTCAGAAGCCGCCATATTCTCACGCACTGAATAGGCCTCAGCTCGGTCGAAACGCAAAGAGGGTAAGTTAGAAACAAGCTTACGCAAGACGCTCATGACATCAGTAATTTCCCAAAGTCCTGTGGGGTCCTGTGGGGTCTGACCAGGGTTCCCAGGAACCCAGGGATTTCGCTCCGGGCGTCCGGGCATCCAGGCCGTCTCCGGGTGTTCAGGGCGCCAGGCCGGCCAGTAAAGTCAGGGATTTCAGGAATCTGGCAGGTGTGGGGCATACAATTACATTTATTGTCACGGATATACTATCATACATGTAGGCATACAGACTGGTACAACTTGGTGCGCGTCCAGGTCCGAGCCTCACTTCGTCGGCGCGACCGTGGGCAGTGGCACAAGTATCAGCAGGCATGACCATGAAGTAGTCCTCGTCCTCCGACGAGACTGAGCCATCGCCCGCGCTCCTGGACCCGAACCCGCTCCCCCGGTGGCTACGCGCTAGTACGAGTGCGTGGAGAACAGCAAGGGCGGCGTACGCAGGGAGTGATGCGGGGAGACCGTGCGCGGGAGCGCCCCGGCGTTCGTCCGGGTCGAGAGCGCAGACAGCACCCAGCGCAGCTTCGGCGGGAGCCGCTTCACCTCGTGCACGAGGAAGGTCTTGAGCCGTGCTCCACCGAGGGGAAAATTCCGTGCGTGCGCAGGTGCCGCTTTGCGTTCGACCGGACCGCAAACGGCTTTGTGCACGTCAGGACCGGGCACTTGAACGCTGCCGGGGACAGAGGAGGGTGAGCACGGACACCGACGAGAGCACAGCACGAGCACGCACGTTTCGCGCCCGCGTGCGAGTTCATGTGCATCGCGAGCCCGCTCGGCCGCGGGAACATCTTGAAGCAGACCGTGCACTGGTGCATCTTGCGCTTCTTCGCCGGCCCCCGCTGCTCGCCGACCCCCTCGCCTGGCGGCGTCACCAGGCTGCCCTCAGGCTGCTCCCGCTCCGACTCAGGGCTCCCCTGCACCTGACTCTGGTGCTGCTCGAGGTGGTGCTGGGGCGCCTGCGCGAGCGGCGCGTGGTACCAGTCCACGTCCCGCCGCTGCACCTCCGACGCCGCCGATGGCAGCGACGACCCCTCCGACTCCCGGTCGTCCTCGAACGCGTCCTCGTCGAACCCGAGCCCGGGCACGCTCGACGGGCTGATCGGCTCCATCGTGCCCACACCCGCGCCGTCGAACGACTCGCGCCGGTGCGCGGACATCAGTGTGTGCGTGCCGTCGAGGCCGCCGGCGCCGAACGGTGACCCGGGGGACCCGCCCAGCGCGAACCCGGGTGTGTACGCGGGCGGGGAGGACGAGAGCGGGGCGTAGCGTGCGCAGGTGCCGCTTTGCGTTCGACCGGTCCGTGAACGAAATCGTGCACGTCGGGATCGGGCACTTGGACGCCGCAGTTGACAAGCATCCACCCCGGCATGGAGATGTGCTTCTGGATCCAGCGCAGTGTGAGGTGTTCTGCGCACAAGAGTGTGAGCGACAAGAGCGTCACGGGTTCTTGAACATGCCTTCAAGAAGGTTGTACTGGTGGTCGAGCCGGCAGCAGTTGAAAGAGTTGAAGATCTGCGTGAACAAACACATGTTAAATACAAGTGGACGTCAGAAACATAAGCGAAATCGTGCGCCCCGGTGACGGCGAGTGCCGCGCAGAGCGCATAAATCTCGTGCACGAAGGGGTGGCACGGGTTATACCAGCGCATATATGCCCCAAAATTTGCGTACACATCTTCGGAACTGCTCAACGAGATTGCACGCAGCTCGGTTCGGCGTGGTGGCAACCGTGGTGGGCCGCGCGCGTGAGGTGAAGGTGGGCCCGAAGGTGAGAGCTACATACCTCTGTTGTTACAGTTGAAGACCCCTCCTCTAGGCCTTCTTATTGCATGAACTTTTATGGTAGAGTGCCCGCCGCTGGCCGGCTACAACCTACATCGTTGTTGTGCGCGGAGTGACTTGTCCTCAGGCGGCGTGTCGAGTGGTGCAGATGGGAGGAGGTAAGAGGCGAGTCATGTTTGACGCCCACGTCCTTCATGTCTCGATCTCTCTTCTTGACCCAATCTCGTTCTTCATTCCTCCACCCTCGCGTCTCAACCATACCCTGAACGTAGTTCCGTACTACTTTAGCCTGTGAAACGGCGGTCCTCTCTGCAAACTAAGCCGCTTCCTTTTGTGAGTACTGTGTGATCATACTTACCATTCTGGTGGTAGTAGGAGCGGAGTGCAAGGACGGCTCGGGTGTGCGTTGAAAGACGGTTTTGGTTCTTCGCAGCGTAGATATCGGACCAACAGTGAGTGTCCACTTCATCCTCATGCATGGCATCCACCTTCCCGCACTCCACACCCGACTAGGCTGTACCCAATACTACCTATGTGCGCCCGCGCCTTCGCGGTGCGCACGATCTATTCTTTCCGATTGGATGATGGGCGCGCCTTTTGTCCTCTCATTTCTGACTGCGCTCCTCTCGCTTTTCCGCAGCTCCACTTGAGTGAGAGGCAGCCAGGACAACACGGGACTGATGGGATACGGTCGGACAGTCAAGGTAAGTATCTCGTGAGTGCGCTCCGACATCACTGCGGATCTGAGTGTCATAGGCGTCAACTGGTGCAAGATCTGGTCGGATACGAGCCACAACATAAGCCCGATAACATGGATCTTGACTGTGATGCTCACGATTGAAGGTGGGGCTTCGCGCATGCAGGTGTATGCGGCCCGTTCGCTGATCCACACTTGCGGCCCCTCCAGCGTTCTTGAAAACCATGGGCAGCCGCGGTCAGAGCTAGCCCATTGGCAAGGTCATCCTCGTCGGCATGGATATGCCCTTCCGCTCTCTGCCGTTGCGCTCCGCGAGGTCGACTGATGTACAGATGCAGGTGAAGGAGTACAAGTGCAAATACGAGCAGCCAGAGATGGAGCTTCAGAGCGCGAAAGGTGCGTGTATTCTTGTCAGTTTGAATGATCAACGTTCCTGACTGTTGACACGATTATCCGACCCAGCGATGTGCCGGGCAGGGTGATGGAGATCGGGAAGACGATTCACATTCACAAGGCGACGCGCACAGAACAAAACGCGTTCGCGCTGTCCGTCGCAGTGGTTTCAGTGTCGACCCGTCGGGGACGGGTGCACCCCGAGTCTGCACATGCTTGGTGGATACAGTATGGCTGCCGGATGCCCTCACTGTAGCGCGCGATCCTCGCCATCGCGCTGCAGTGCTGCCAGATTGGGCCCACGTCATCGTGCACGGCGAGGTCAAATGTGAGCTCGCGCGACGGCACCGAGACGGAGGTGATGTAATTCACCGGCCTGATCTCGCCCGTTCCGTCCATGGCGACGGCTTTCAAGTGTCCCGCGCGCCGTTGGGGTGACGGTGACAGTGCGGTTGCTATTGCTCGTGTTGATGTCCTCGCGCGAGGCCATGGGCGTATATACGCACCACACCTCTCGCCCACGTTGTGTAAATTGACACCATCGCGCCCGGCATGGTAGTCCTGGTGGGTTCATCCCGCCGCACTCAACGCACTCATCCCACCTCGCTCCACATGTCCGCATTCAATAGGTACCGTACTATCTGAACATGTATGTAGATTACCACCTACACAAACTACTGTACTGGCTGATTAACAGCGTGAGGCCTGAATCCGGCGCTGGGCATCCTGACGCCTGAAACCCTGTGTGCGCCGGGCGCCCTGAGTCCCTGTGCCGCCCTGTGCGCCCTGTACGGTCCCGATTCCCCTGGATCCCTGAAATCCCTGAAATCCGGGGATTCAGGGATCCAGGGATTTTGGAAGTTACTGATGGACGTCCTTGCCCTCCCCGATCCGGTGTAAAAGCGCCTCGTCTCCCCGCTCGACCGCATTCTTCTTCTCCGCAACCAGCCTCTGCGAAAACGCGTAGATCATCTCCACCTGGCGCCGCACGCGCTGCACTGCCGGGTCCGGCCAGAGCCGCACGACAAGCCTGCGCAGCCAAGACGGGCCTCGGACGTCCTTGAAAAGCGTAAGGAACGCGAAACCGTACATGATGTCGGCGATCGACGGGCTACAGAAAGCAGACGGCCACGTCAGCGGATCGCGAGGGTGGGGACGAATGAACGCGCACAAGAACGACTTGACGTGCTCCGTGAACTCGTCCTTCGTGTCCTCCACGAGCGGGTCGAAGCTGTGCCCGAGCGCACCCTGGCCGACGAGCTCGAGCGCGGCGCGCCCCATCCAGCCTACGACGTCGAGCTCCTCTTGCCCGGCGCGGACGCGCGTGGCCATCGCGGATTCCAGCTTCGAGAACGTGTGTGTAAGCGCGAGGGTGCGCTGTGAGCGGGAAGGGTGCTGTCCGATGCGCACCTTGTGGACGATCTGGTAGAAGAAGGGCGTGATTTCGCGCATGTACTTCGCGGAGAAGACGGGGTTGAGCATCTTGCGCTGGCGCCGGTGTATCTTGTTACGGTCGCGGAGCGCGGGAGCGCGGAGGTCGGGCGAGTCGGAGACGAGCGGAAAGGCGGGATCGGATTAGAGGACGCGCTTGACCTCGGAGAGGCTCGCGGTAGCGGGGAGACGGGAAGGAGAGGCGACGGGGAGGAGCCAGGAGGCAATCGCGTAGCGACACAGTAGGTGCGGGAACGGTATATAAAGCTAATGGTGGCGGACGATCGTATGCTAAGTGTCCGTAGCGGGCGCGCGCCGAAGCTCGTAACCAGACAGGCGGAGCAGGCCATAACACACCCCCACGAGCGAGGCGCGGTACACGAAGGCGGAGAAGGTGCGGTAAGGTACGGTAACAAACGTACGGTCGGTCAGAATATCGAAGAGCGCGCAGGATAGAGAGAATACAAAAACATCGGGGCGCACGAGGGTTCGGAGCAGGCAACGGGTCGAGAGCGGCAGGCGTACACTGCGCGAGACACCCCCATACTAAGGGCGACGCGGGGACAAGTGCAGCAGCGCGCGCGTCATCGACGACGGCGTCGGGTTCAGCGGAGGAGGCGGGCGCGCGGCGACGAGCGCGAGCGATCATGCAGCGTCGTGCGAGCGGTGGGCGGCATGGGTCGTCATCGTCCTCGGGATCGCGGGCTTCTGCAACAGCAGTCCGGCGGGCTCGGGTTCGGTCGGTTCGGTTCGGTCGGTCGGTCGGTCGGTCGGTCGGTCGTCGGTCGGGTGCGGGATCGCGCGAGCAGCCTCACGGGGAGGGTCACGGGGAGTGGGGACGAGGCAGCGGGATCCGAAGCGCGCAGGTCGGAACGCGGATCGGGAGTGGAGTCGGGGCGGATCGAGGGAGTTCGGGTTCAGGCTCGGGGCGCGGTCGAATGCGGGCGGGTCCGCACAGGCTGGTCTTCGGCACTCGGGGCAGAGCAACGGCTCGCGGCGAGGCTTCGAGGTCGTGGGTCGTGGGTCGCGGGGCGTTTTCGCTCTTGATGCTCAGGCGCCGGAGCAGAGCGCGAAATGCGGGAGAGGGTTCGGGATGGTCGGCTCACCAGCGCGAGGGACAGCGCGGTGCAGGGTGCTCGGATTGCCCTCCGAGTAGGGACACGCGATTGTGTTACGGTCGCGGAGCGCGGGAGCGCGGAGGTCGGGCGAGTCGGAGACGAGCGGAAAGGCGGGATCGGATTAGAGGACGCGCTTGACCTCGGAGAGGCTCGCGGTAGCGGGGAGACGGGAAGGAGAGGCGACGGGGAGGAGCCAGGAGGCAATCGCGTAGCGACACAGTAGGTGCGGGAACGGTATATAAAGCTAATGGTGGCGGACGATCGTATGCTAAGTGTCCGTAGCGGGCGCGCGCCGAAGCTCGTAACCAGACAGGCGGAGCAGGCCATAACATATCTCGCCTTGCGTTGAGAGCAGCCCCGGACCGAAGAGGGCCATTCCAGCCCTGAAGGGTTTGATGGAGTTCAGCAGCGAGGCAAGGGAAGGCAGAGGTAACGCAATCTATCGACATGTTGCTCCTTTGCCAGATGTCTTGATCTTTGATGTAGATGGCATGCATTGCCTTCGGGTCGTACGTCAGCAGTCCTTTCGCCTGTAATGTACAAGGTTGAGTTATTGAATGAAGACAAAGTTCGTAGGAAGAATGTACGCCAAAGAGGTTGTGGATGAGGCACGTTTGGCCATACGCCTCAGATAGGTGTCGAACATAATCCCAGGCGTCGCACTGGAATAGTTTACCGATGTTACCTGGGAGTCCATACTATTAGCTGGATATGAGGTGATGCTCGCCCACGTACCTGTGACCCATGATACAGACTCCGGCCCGGGGAGCTGCTCGAATTGAGGTCTGGGAGTAAAAAGCCCGCGCAAGAAGCGCAATCCGATGTATCCTGTGACCACCGCGAACGCTGTGAGCAGCAGGGAGGTCATGGTGGGAGAGATGGACCGTGAGCTGCGCAGGCGAGCCTGGGATACATATACCCCATCAGGAAAACCTTAACGAGCTAATTAGCTCTAGGCTAACTAGCACTAGCACTATCGACTTAGCTATTCACGCTAGCACACTATGAACGGCTAGTCATACTATTTGACCACTATGTTTCAGCTCTCGCAACTATGTAGCTAGTCGTTCTGCTGCCACAGCTAGTGGATCTAAATCAAATCTATTTGTACCGGATCTGAACTAATGTCTAGCTACTCGTCGTGCGCCTCTCCCGCCCCGTCTACATGGTCTTCGTGCGCCGGGGCGCCTCGGCGCCCAGCCAGGTCATGGTGCGCACCTCACGGCGAGTCCCACGGCAAACGTGCAGAGTGTGCTGGGCGTGTAGATGCGCTCGACGCCGTCACCCGCGCCGTCGGGTGCGATCGCGTGCTGGGGTTTCGCGCGGGCGTCCGCACGGTCCCGCTGTGCGGCGTGCTCGTGCTCGTGCTCGCGCTTGCGCTCGGGTTCGCAGAGACGGGGGCTGTCGTGATCACGGTGCTCGCGACGGTGCGCGCGCAGCCCTTGGAGCGCGCGGGGGTGCTCACGGTCGTAGTAGGCCTCGCGGTAGTAGCGCTCGAGGCGGCAGCGCGCGGCCTTGTCGCGGAGCGCGAGCGTGGCGGCGGGCGACGCGGATCCACCGGAGGAGGGCGCGGAGGTCGCTGAGCACCGGGAGGGCGATGAGGAGGCAGAGCGCGCCACCGAACTGGAGGGTGGAGAGGCTGGAGGCGCGAGCGGGGGGCGGGAGGCTGGGTGACGGCGCGAGGAGGGCGCAGCGAGAATGACGCGGACGAGATGGGCTAGGCGGGCGACGCTGATGCGGATGCGGGGGCGAGACAGGGTGAGGTGGCGAGGTGGGCAATGCGGGAACGAGGTGGGCAATGCGGGAACGAGGTGGGCGGCGCGATGAGATGGGCGAGATGGGCGATGCAGGTAAGCCGGGGCGACACGGGTGATGTGGGCGACGCGGGCGATATGGGCGACGCGGGCGAGGTCATCGAGGTGGGGCGACGTGTGACACAGGCCAGGTGGGTGAGGTGGGGGCGAGATGGGCGACGCGGACGCGCGTGATGTGACCCGTGCGATGTGCGTGAAATGGGCGAAACAGGCGAGGTGAACGATGTGATCGTGAGACGGGCAGGGGAGGAGAGGATGTGCAGGAAAAAACGAGAGCTCACCGTAATAAACAACGACTTCATGGCCAGCGCCCTCGAAGACGTCCTTGAGGGAGAGGAGGGAGGTGGGGAGCCAGTGGGTGAGTGCGACGGCGAATGCGTGCTTGTACGCATGGAGCGCGGGAGGCTGGCGTGGTCGGCATAGAAGAGGAGCAATTGGAAAGCAAGAAGACGATGAGGACAATGGGGACGAGTGCCACACAACGGGAGACTCACCAAAACCTAGGGGCCCGCAACAGCTAATCGAGGAAGCGGCAGGTGAGGAGAGCGTTGGCTTGTTCATCGAGGATGTTGCGCCAGGAGGAAAAGATGGGGAGGATGTGGAGGACGGGAAGGACGAGGAGGACGGGGTACTAGTGGACGAAGGGAAAGACGCGCTGGCAGGTCCAGACACGTGGGAAACGATGCACGTCGCGTGGACTCCAGCGCTTGGCACTGCCAGCACTCTCGTTGTCGTTGTCCTCATCGTCCTCGTCGTCCTCTGACCTCCCCTTGCCCGTCTCGTCATCGCCCGTCTCGCCCTCGCCCGTTCTGCTCTCTCCCTCCCCGCCACCTTACCCATGTCAATCCGCGTCATCCGCGTCGCCGACTTCAAGCTTTACCCGTCTCGCCTGCGCCCCACGCCTCGCCCGCCTTGTCCGTCTCGTCCGCTTGTCCCGTCTCAACCCCCTGGGTCCTCGTCCATCTCACCTGTGTCGTCCACCTCGCTCGCGTCACCCCAGATCTCGCTCATCTTGCACGCGCTCGTCTCACCTGCCTCACCCATCTCGCCCACCTCTCTCTCACCCGTCCTGCCCTCGCCCGTCTTGCTCTCGCCCGTCCGCACCCGCGTTATCCACGTCGCCACGTCGCCCACTTCACCTGCCTCGCTCTCGTGTCGTACGTCACCCATCTCGCTCACCTCGCCCACGTCTACTGCCCCGCTCATTGCCCTCCTGCAGCCGAGGATGGTCGCCGCTTCGCCCATCTCCCGCGCGTCTCGCGAACGTGGGTGTGACCCTGACCGTAACAGTAAGTGCCCCATGCATCCACTCTGCCATGCAATTCCTGACCCCTCCTCACACGCACGCGCACCACTGACGTTGGAATCCCCCATATTACCACCTCGCCCACGCCGTCGCCGCCTCTCGCCTGCGTCACCTACCCCGCTCGGCTGACCATCTGTGAGTACTACAACTCCGTCTCCGCTATCGCGCGCCCCACGCTGACGCTGACGCTACCTCACGCTCCCACAGGCAAGTGCGATATCCACGCGCAGATGCGCTAGATGCGCTGCACGTACACGAAGGACAACGTCAGCCCTGAGGACGGTGCCCGATCACGACATGGAGGAAGGCGCCGTCTGAACACGCGCGCAAGCTCCAGTGCGTCCATCACCCCCACGCTCGTCCAGGTAAGCAGCCCCCTCGCACACGTCAATCTCATCTCACCGTGCAGTCTCTCACACGCTTGTTTAAGCTCACGGCCAAACCGACGCCCGTTCGCCCACATCGCCTATGTCACCCACGTCCAAACCCGCATCTCCCGCCTCACCGTATCGCGCCCGGTTTGGGCATCTCCCGCACATCGCCCCGTTCGCTGCCGCATCACCTGCCTCTCATCCACATTGTCCACCTCGCCCGCTTGCCCGGTTCGCTCTCGACTCGCCCACGTCACCCGTGCCGCCTGCCCCGCCCTTGTATCGCCCATGTCGTCCGCACTGGGCACATGCGGAGAGGCTGTATTCCTCCATAAGTAGTGCCCGTGTCGTTGCTTGTAGTCTACTTTGTACGTTGTAGCATGATAAATATAAATTTGTTTGACTCTCCTATACGCTTGTGTGACCAAACCTACAGTTGCTCTATCTGTCTATCTAACTTGCAGCTAGGCACTCTATTCAGCCGTCTACTTCAGAGCTAGGTGCTCTAATCACCCATCTACCCAGTAGATAATGGGGCTAGTGATCTAATTAGTTCAGGGGTAAAATAATTAGCACTAATGAACTATCCGCATCTAGTTAGCTAATTAGCGCTATTTTAGATGACCTAGAGCTAATTAGCTGGTTAAGGTTTTCCTGATGGCCCATGTGCCGTCAAAGAAGCAGGCCGGTGTCAAAGAAGCGAAGCATGTGGAGTAAGAGCGGTGATGATTAAATATTGAACACTAAACGGCACGTAGTCGGCGCGAAGCACACAGCTCCCGAACTCCGCGGTGCGGGCTTATCTACATTCCCGGGAGGTGGGTGCCAGAGGAGGTGATTGTGCGAGCGAAACCTTTAACATCATCTCGGGCTCCGTGTTCCCGACCTTGGCGGCCGGGTATGTGACGACGGCTGAGTTCCAGAAGAACGGCTTGTTCGACTGTTCGAAGCGGAAGGATGCAATAAGCGTAGAGAGCACAATCTCTGCGATGAACATAGTTAGCCGCGCGGTACACCCACAAGAAAGGCAGCATAACACACTCATCTCGAGCTGAGAGAATTTGAACCCGCTGAATGGGGAGATATAATGAGTCAACTGCACGATGAGAAAGCGCGTTGACGCACATGCAACCATGTCCACCTCCGATGAAGGTCATCCTGGTGAGGTATCATCCCCAGTGAGGGTCCCTCCCGTCTACATACGTCTACATACGTCCCCGCGCCACTCACATATCTAGACGTATCTAGACGTCCAGCACGGTCGGAGGACGTATTTTAAATCCGTCTAGAAACGTCTGTTCAGATGCAGACCTACAGTGGTGATTCACCAGGTGCATCCATTGTGACAGCCTACCGGCAGGTGCGGATGCATCTGGTGCCGGCCGGCCCGGTCGCGCTCAACACCGCCTTCCCCAAGCACGCTCGCGCACCCACGCTGTCCCGAGATGTCCGGACACCAGCGTCTCAGGCGCTGCCACCTGAGCTCGCTGTCTCCGACAGTGAGCTCGCCTCCCTCTTTTTTTCACACCACATCTTGTATATGATTAGTGATAAAATGTATTTGTTAGTAAGCTACTACATAGGTGCACTAGTATGTAATACCACGCCCCGCGACAACGCGGAGGCAGAGGCAGGGATGAGGGTTGGGACAAGGCGGAGGAGGAGGAAGGCGACGTGGACGACGTGAATGCGGGAGACGCGGAGGCGGGCAACACAAAGGCAAGTGAGGCGGAGGTGAGGGACGTGAAGGCGGATGAGAGCGACGGGGAGGGCTCGCGGGGGGACGCGGAGGGCCCGGACGAGGCGGAGCAGGTGGTGGGCGACGCGGGCGGGGGTGCGAGATGCGAAGAGGGAGGAGGCGCAGAGCAGCGAGGGTGGGCGATGCGAGCGGAGACGGGCTGCGCGGGCGGAGGAGGTGCGTGGAGGAGGGTGACGCGGAGGACTCGCGGGAGGAGGCGGAGGCAGAGGAGGGCAGCGCGCGCGGAGGAGTGCGAGGAGGAGGTGAGCGAGGCGGGCAGAGGCGGGCGATGAGGTGGGCAGCACGCGCGGAAGCGGACGATGCGGAGGCAGACGAGGCGGAGCAGGTGGGCAACGCGGAGGGGGGGGGGGGGGGGGGGGGGGGGACGTGGAGGAAGACGAGGAGGAAGACGAGGACGAGGACGAGGGCGGAGACGGAGGCGGGCAGCCAGGACGAAGCGGAGGAGGGGGAGCCTAGCGACGTGTGTAGATGCGGGCGGCGGGAGGCGGCACGGACGCGGACGCGGGCGACATGGAGGAGGCTGATGACGCGCAGCCTGCAGGTGGGCGACGCGCGTGGAGGAGGTGGGCCGCGTGGAGGCGAGCAAGACGCAGCAGGGCGAGGAGGAGGAGGGCGACATGGAGGTGAGGGAGGCGGAGGAGGGTGTGCGGGCGCAGGCAGGTGTGCAGGTGCAGGTGGGCAGCGCGAAGGCGGGCGGAAAGCAGCGCGGGGGTGGGCAACGGGGAGGAAGGCAGCGGTGAGGTGGACGCGGGGGTCAAGGCCGGCGGCAGGCCGGATGGGCGAAGCTGGAGAGGAGGGGTGGGCATTGGGAGTGCAGGAGAACGGAGCGGGGGACTCACCAAAATGAGGGCCGCGGTACGTCGCCGCGCCCCCTAATTCTAATTTCCATGCTGAGGACGTCCGGATGGACATCCTCGTGCGGTGTGGATGCAGCCGGCAAGGTGGGCGAAGGACGGCATGGAGGTCGAGGTTGAGGTCGAGGGAGGAGGAGGGGGGCGGGGTTGAACGGTGTCACCAGGTGACACCGGAGTCCAATAGCAGACGAAGGACGACTGTATAGTCGCTATCGTCTGCCTGGACGGTGGTGGGGGCGGAGTAGGAGGAGGAAGAGGAGGCGGGGGAGGGGAGGAGGAGAGCAAGGACGGCGGGAGGGACGCGTGGTGTGCATCATAGCCACGCGTCGATGCGCGCCACGCGTCCTTGCCGCCCAACGAGGCGCGCCTCCACGGGCGCGCATCACGGATCGCCAGATCCGTCCAGATGCATCCGTAGCTGCCGATAGGCTATCGCAACGGATGCACCAGGGAAATCACCTGTGCTCTGCAGACGTATTAAATCCGTCTGTATCCGTTTGTATATGTTCAAATACGTCTGATTATGTGCCTGGTACTGGACAAGGGGAGCTCCCTACGGTCACCGGCCCGTTCCACCCACCCTCGCCGCCTCGCGCCCCTCCGTCGGCGCCGCCTTGTGCCGCGTCGTCCACGCTCCTCTCGCACCTCGCGTGATGCGCCTCGCACGCCTCTTGCATTGCGCCCTCGTTGTCCACACCTCGCTCTGCGTTGTCCACGCCCTACACCGCAACACTCGTCGCCGACCCAGCCCACTGCCTGCGCACGCGCCCGCTCTTCACCACCGCGCGTACCAGTTGGTGCGCTTCTCAGTACCCTTAGTCTGATTCTTCACCGCGCGCGGGAGGAGGGAAGCCGCCAGGCGTGACAGGGGGATGATTCACGGTGTTTGGGGTTTTGAGAAGTGGCTCGCCTCCGGTTGGAGGAAACGGTGAGGATCTGTTTTCAAGGCACTATGAGATCGTGCTGCAACACAAATGGAGTACTCACTGCCGCGCTGTGGGCACACCTGAGGATGCTGTTGGGGTCGGTGATGAAGAGTCCGTGGAGGGCGATGCCCTTGTCCTTGATGAGGATGCTGTAGTCTCGTGAGATGGACGTGTTGCGGTCCGCGAGGAGCGGGAGCTTGAGGTCTGGGCCGAGGCTGCAATGCTTGTGCGGGGATGTCGCCCAACCGAAGTGAGAGTCCTGCGAGTCGGTCGAGGTCACTGTGGATGTGGCAGGGCTAGCGTGAGCGGCCACAGAACCGGACTTGGTGGAAGGGGAGGGGGATGGAGTGGGAGGCCGCGAGAAGAACGGACCAGGAACAGTGTTGATGGCAGTGAACGCGGGGAGAGCGTCGTTGAACGCAAGTATCTCTGCGGGGCGTATGAAGATGAAGTCCCTCGACGGGGAGGCACCTCCTGGTCAGCAGCGCACCAACGGCACTCAAACAGGATCCTCACATGGGGAGAATGACCTTGCACGCACACATTCATATAAACATCCATTAGCGACAGCGAAATGCGCCACAAAAAGAGGGACATGATACACTGGCCAAGGCAGGAGTCAGAGAGGGCGACGATGGCGCTCGCCTTGGGCACGGGCACGGGCTTCTGTATGGTGGCGACCATTGTTGCGTGCGTCTCAAAGGAGAGGCACCGTGGATAATGGTAAGGGGAAGAAGGGTGTGAGAGATGATATCCGTCAAGGAATAGTGGGTATATGCGCACCTTCAACCAATACGACGCACCCAGCTTTCGTTCTGAACAACAAAAAACATACCCACCGTGCTCATTCTAAGATGACCAGCGTGTCGGAGTACTACTCTTGCATGCCTCCAAGACAAATCCATGTCCGGCTCGTCGCGCATGTCAAAAAAGCAAGGTGTACACTTGTGGAGGATGAATCAGACGAAGACGAACAGGAGGGGGAGATGTGGAGGTGGTGGAGCGGACGCAAGCGGGCAAAATGCGCGTTGCGCCAGGCGCGACAAAGTCCCAACGTCATCGAAGGCTCGGTCCATTCCGTGGTCCACGTGATGAGAGCGAAACTCATTTTTGAGAGAAACAGCTGCAGAGAAGTTTAAAAGTGCGTAGCGAGACAAAAGCGAGGTGCTCTATTTTTGCGTGAACACACGGTGACAGGAAATACTGCCCAGCAGATTCTAACGTCATCTCCGGCGCCTGGGAGGAGCTGATCGTTTGAAGACGTCCCAAGACGTTTTTCATCGTATCTAGACGTTTCTAGACGGGAGGGACCCTCACTGGGTATCATCCGCGATGAGACCTTGGGGATGTGTATATTCCGACTTACTGGTTCGAATAGAGGCCCGGGATGCGCGCGTCTTCGAGAGCCTTGGGAAGCGGTTGCAGCCACCTCTCCGGCTTCCACTCAAAAGCGTCTTCTCCCCATAGCGCCTTGTTTGTGTTGCAGGCGCTAACGTTGACTATCACTGTGGTATTCTTCGGTACGATGATCTCCGACATTGGCGACCCGTCCTTGCCGACCACAGGGTCCGAGAGTGCGAGAGCGACGTCCTCCTGAGATCTGATGGCGATTTGTCAAACACAAACCGTACAGAACAGAGATAAGACGCACTCCCGGATGACCATTACAACGGGAGGGAACCTGGGATGTCGTCATCTTTGATAAATCTCCGTGACATATGCGTGGGAGGAGTACTTACAGGCGGAGGGTCTCACGGCAGACAGCGTCGAGGTACGGGAGCGCCATCACCTCGTCGTATGGAATGTTGTTGCCGTATTGTTCCTTCGCTTGCCGAATTTCCTCACGGAGATGCTCTTGCACTTCGGGGTACTGCGACAACTGATCGAGCACGCGAGCAAGGGCATTGGAAGTAGTATCGACGCCGGCGACGATGAAGACTCTGTGATTCACTGAGCAAACAGATAGTGTGAATAGCACGAAACAAACACTTACGACATCTGCGCCAGAAGCTCAGCGTCGGGAAGGCGATCTTCTTCAGATGCAACCATGTTCTCCCGCACTGTAAAGCTGCGTCACGTTTTGGTCGGCGGTGGCAGATGTCGCAGAAACTCACAGAGGATGCTCATCACGTCCTTTCCCTCTGCGATCTGGCTCATGATCCCCCCTTCACCCTTATCGATCCGCGTTCTCTTTTCCGCGAGCATCTCCTGCGTGCGTGCGTAGATGAAGTCCACGTAGTAGCGCATCCGTTGCACGTTCGGGTCGGGCCACAAGCGAACCGCGAGACGGCGGAGCCACCGCGGTCCGACGCCCTGCACCAAAGGGAGGACGGCGAGCGCGTACAGTATGTCGGGGATAGAGGGTCTGATCGAAGTGTTAGTATCTTGATCAAGCGGAAGGGAGTCGCAACGCACGACATAGACTTGACCGCCGCAGTGAACTCATCCTTCGAGTCGACGATGAGTGGGTCGAAGCTGTGTCCGAGTAGGCCTTGTCCGACGAGTTCAAGCGCGGCACGGCCCATCCAGCCGACCATGTCGAGATCAGTGGGTCTGTCGCGAACACGCGTTTCTATGGCGCTCTCCAGCTAGCACAGGGTTTTGTGATTTGGAAGATCGCGATCGAGATACAACACACACCTTGTTCACGATTTCGTGGAAGAAGGGCGTGATTCCACGCATGTACGCAGCGGAGAACACGGGGTTTAGCATTTTGCGCTGCCGGCGGTGCATGGCGCCTTCTGTTGATATGAGTCCCGGGCCGAAAAGTATGTCTCCAGCCCTTTATAAGCTAGTTGAGTTTCAAGCGGAACGGCAGCCTGAAGACATAAGTGACGAACTCCCGATTGAGTGTATTGCGTGGGAACACCTCTTGTTCCTTGATGAATATTGTGTGCAACGCTTTGACATCATAAATATGAAGCGCGCGGGTCTTCAGGTGTAAAGGTCAGGGAATATGTTTTCCTCCGAAGAGACACCGAAGCACCTACCCCGAAGAAGTTGTGTACGAGGGAGACAGGGCCGTAGGCGTCGACGAGCTCCTGCACGAAGCTCCAGTTGTCCATGCTGAATATTTGGAGCATGTTTCCTGTTGCTATCGCTTCAGATGACGTCGTCACAATGCGCAGCAAACGCACCAGTGAAGAACGAATTCCTGGGGAGTCCACGTATGTTGTCCAGAGGAGAGCGCGAGAGTAGGCGTCGTGCTACCCCCCATGACGCGTAGAATAGTGTGGCCGCTAGGCCCACATAGGCCGCTGGTGAAATAGTGGGCATGAGGATTCCGACGGACTGGAGTCTGTTATGAAAGGTTAGTGGTCGAATCTGTCCCGGGGGAGACCCCAAGCAAGCCTGTATATACGCACGTACGCGAGAACACCCGGCGCGATCCCGAGTTCCTACGGCGGAGCCGGTGACTATGGCTTTGAGTTTGAATTTGAGCTTTGAGGGCTCACGAGGCCTCGGTCGAAGATGCCAGCAAAACGATCACTTACCGTTGACAGTTGGAATGGTACGCGGGCGGGTTCCCCCGATGCGCCGCCACGTTTGCCCGACGCCAACTTGACACTTACTCTACCTAAGCATAGTCACTTCCAGACTAGCGTAGCACACATAGGAAGGGTGAAGGATGCTAAAGTGGAAGAGGAAGAGGGGGTATTGAATGAAACGAGCGAACTGCACACTCAGCCTTAGTAGGGGGTATGAAGAACGTGATGTCGGGCCGCCGTCCCGCAAGCGCTAGTTGTTCTGACGCCGAGCCCGCCCGTCTGGTCGCTGCCCAGCGCTGCCCCTCCCAACCTCTGATCAATGGCCCCCATCGTCCGGATCCGCATCGCCCACCATCGTCTCTTCCCTCTAACTGCGCTGTATAATCGACCCCCTCCGAGCCCAGACTTTCTCCGCCTCGACGAACGCTGCTCAACGTGCCTTTTGCTCATCTTCATAGCCATCTACGCTCGCTAAGGTGCATGTGGCAAGCTATACTGCTGTAAATGATCCCGCGGGATGGTGCTTGGTCAGACCTGCGGGGTGGACGGTGAGTACTTGGATCTTGATGCTAGCGTATGCTGCGAGTTTTGGGCGTATTGCACGGGAGGAGTCGGCGCTGAGGGAAATCTGTCCACAAGAGGGCTGCGACATCTTTGCGGGGGCGTATCGCACTGGAGTGGCGTGGAACACACCAATCTCATCATACTTTCATGTCTAGTATCAGTTGCTCTCCGCAAGTAGCGCATATAGTCATATCAATTGACCGCGGCCGAGCATGCGAAACCCCGTTTGGAGGCACGTATCATCCGTATGGCGAGCTCGGTCCTCTAGTTCATGGTGAGCGCCGAGCCTCGGGCAGCTGCTATGACTCGAGTGTCCTCGATTCTCAGGCGGACCCACAGAAACATTCATATCCGAGGGGCCTGAAGTGGGTAGGCGGCCTCCCCAGGGCCACGAGGAGCTTGAACACGTCAACGTCGACAAATTCGCCCATTATGAGTCAGTGTCGCCCGACCTGGTCGACAGCGTCCCTCATTTCCCTTCAGGACGCTCTTGTGAACGTCCAGAGTACAAATCCCAAACGAGGCCCTTCTGCCATTCATTATTCTCGATGCCTATTCTTGCCTCTCAGACCCCCAGCTCGCTCATCTATGCAAGACGCTGGAAGAGCAGCCAAGCATCTGCAGCGGCACGCTCGCGCTCCCTTCAGACCAGCTGGAGATGTACTACGGGCGCAAGAACTCTCGGTGCGTCTTCTAGATCTGTGCATTGCCTCGTTGCACTCATTATGGTCGTCAATTATAGCTTTTTGGCGATGTGTCCTCCCATCCTAATGCGGTCGTTGAACTCGCGGGCACCTGCCTGCCGGCCATGTTCGGCCGAGGAGACGAGACGGTCCTCGACGAGACATATCGCAGGATAGGCAAGATGAACGTCGGTGAATTCATGATGGGGTTTGACGTCGAGAAGTTGGGTTCTTGGACGCAATCACCTCCCATCTCAGAAGCTACACCGACGACAAGATCCGTGCAGAGCTGTACAAGCTCAGCGTGTATAGTACGTCCTTGTCGATTTGGATCATGCTGCGTGATTGGCTGATCGGAATGCGGGCAGGCAAGGGACAATTCTTCAAAGCGCACGCAGACACCCCTCATGCTCCCAACATGTTCGGCTCCCTGGTCATTGTCTTCCCCACCGCGCATGATGGCGGGACACTCCCTCCTCCTTCGCGAAGACGAGCAGGAATTCGTGTTCGATTCCGCAAAGCTACTCGCCGGGCGCAACGACTGCATCGCCTACATCGCCTTCTTCAGTGACGTCGAACACGAAGTCACCCCATTGCTCTCAGGTCACCGTGTCACGGTCACATACAACCTCTTCGACGACGCCCCCGGGGATCGCTCCACTCTTCAGCCTTGGGCTCTAGTTCCGCGCGCCTCGGCGTCCGCATCCGCGGAAGCCGTC